CCCTATGCATCAGTACTCCTGTGTCCCTTGGATAAATTCCTAGCAGTGCTATTGCTGGGTCATAGGGTAGGTCTATTTTTAATTTTCTGAGGAACTTCCACACTGCTTTCCAGAGCGGCTGCACCAATTTGCATTCCCACCAACAGTGCAAGAGGGTTCCCGTTTCTCCACATCCTCTCCAGCATCTATAGTCTCCTGATTTGTTCATTTTGGCCACTCTGACTGGCGTGAGGTGATACCTGAGTGTGGTTTTGATTTGTATTTCCCTGATAAGGAGCGACGCTGAACATCTTTTCATGTGCCTGTTGGCCATCCGGATGTCTTCTTTAGAGAAGTGTCTATTCATGTTTTCTGCCCATGAATGGTCTACTTTAAGTGAAATTGTCAGAGCTGTGGGGGTTAGGTACCTCTTTTTTGTATTCCCACTTCTGAATTCTAAAATACTCAGGAAAGACCTTTATATTCTTGCATGATGCTAATTTACTTAATCTCCACCAATGGACAATGATACCAATGGGCTCAATTCTCGGACAGAGCTAGAAATCTGAGGTCCACCATTTACTAGAAGGGCTACTCCCACTTCACCTCTTCAGTGCTTCAGTTTTTCCATCTGTAAAATGCTGATAATAATGCCTGTCTTCCTCAGACAGTTATAAGGGCTACAACATAAGAAAATGAGCTCTTGTATACTATAAATCATTGTGTGAGTATAGGTTCCATTATTAACTGCTACCCAAATATATGAAACAGCATATCATCTTTCTGGGAAACTCTATGTTTAAAAAAAAAAAAAAAGACTATCCTCAGAAGTAATTTGATCTCTTCTCAGGATGATGTCCTTTCTAGAGGTTTCTTGAGCTACCACTTACTTTTGGGTTCCCATAACCCAAAAGTAATGGAAATGAGTTCATTTCCATTAAACAAATGAAATAGAAACATAGAATTATTCCAGAATTATTTTAATTCCTCATTTTTCATGGGTTTTTGTTTTGTTTTCCTGTTTTTATCTAGGAAATCACAAACCATTTACTTTTCTATCACACATTCTATTAACAAGCTCCTCTGCATTTTAAAATACTCAGGCAGGTATAAAAGAAGGTATAGAAGAAAATTGTTCCACATGCCCCTTTGCAAGTGGTTTAAATAGCTGAACACAGAATGAAGGAAAGTTTGCTGGCCTTTGGATCTGTAAATTGATAATAAAAAGCTTGCAACATAAAAGAACCAATTACTTCAGTTTGAATTAACACAATCGGATCTTCCCCTAGTATGGTTTAATCAAAGCCAATAACATTACGGACAACTTACGACAGCCCAGTTGATTTTTATACGCTATACTTAATATTACAAAACACTCCCAACTGGATCGACTTATTTCCCTCATATAAATACAGCCACATATAACACTGTTAGTAATTGAAGTCACTTAGAAGTAAATTGTTAAAGACTCAACAATCCAAACTGATGTAAAATACTCAAGGGCTTTCATTCATAAGCTTCTATCTAATGTGAATGCATAACTCATTTTAACTGTAGAGAAAGAAGGAAAGAAGTTCTTTCTCTCCCTTCTGAAAAATCCTAGCAATGCAGATTTGAAACAATACTATTAGTTTTCTAAAAATCTTAAAATAACAATCTTCTTTCTTAGAAAAGGAAGCTGTTGGTATTATTTAAATAAGTACATTTGTTTTTAGTTACTATCAGGGAGAAAGTTACTTTGTTTATATTAATTTTCTTGGTTAATTTGCAAGTTACCCTAGATGGAGAAATCTTATAAACCACTTTCAGCTGGGTTATTTTATATGAGGTAAAATAACACCTCACACATCTCTGAGGTATGAAAATATGCTTAAAATTTAAAGATACACACTTTATAGGTATTATATATCTTTTAACCTACCTTCTCATTAGATTTTTCCCACTTAAACTATCAGTAACAGCTCTAGAAGGGCTGCTTTCAATGATACTGTGTTGTGTTCCTCAACGTACTGTGATATAAAGATCTGAATGCATTCACTCTAAATCCATTAAATGCTGTAGTGACTTCTTGTGAAGTCAACAACCCATTCACAGAAGAAAAGTCATCTCTAGACTACAGACTTGTAGGTTCTTGGTAGGTGGAAACAACCATCTGGTTTTTGGAGTCATGTTAAAGACCTCTGATGCCCCTGACTCTCACCCAAGCAGAACTGCTGATTTTGCATTATTCCTGATTATTCAACTGAATAATCTCATCTGATGCTTCTGTCACAGGTGGCTCTCATATTACCTGCAGTTAATTTTCTTAGAAAATTAAAGCACCTTCTCCTTCCTCTTAGTGACAATGTCTATAGTTCAGCCACATAATTCTTTTCAAAGTATAGACTTAGAAAATTTCAAACAAGTACAATACCTTCACTCTCAAATTAAAAATTAGAAAAGTTACCAAATACATAATGCTTGTGTGTGTGTGTGTGTGTGTGTGTGTGTGTGTGTGTGTAGTGCCGAGGGCAGCACTGGCATTTTATTAAGCTGGAAATTTTGTTGAATGAATTAGTAAATGAATGATAGCTATTATAATCCTAGGGGTCAGTGAAGAATTTTACACTTAATAATAACCTAGACCTGCAATGAACATAATTATGTTTGGGTGATGGATATGTTCACTGAGTCAGATAATTCAGAAATGTGAATCCTGGAGCCCTATTGTAGAGTTCTGCCATAATCAACACCGAATACTGTTGATCTGCTCTTGATTATCTTGGCTCCCAATGTATGAAATCAAAGAAGCCAATTCTTTTTATTTTGCTCTGCAGCCATGGGACCCTACTGTAGATTGGAATGTCATAAACAGCGTGTTCATGAAGATGACTAGGTTAGAGAAAATGCATAGGTAAGACTAAAGATATTAATAAAACTACATGGGGAGAAAAAACCCCACACCCATTATTTGTAAGTCTCAGTGTGAGTAGACCAGTAGTCTACTTTTATAAACATCATATACTAATCATAAAATTTGTCCATCTTTGCTAAAACCTGCTGATGACACTTTAGCAACAATAAAGAAAAAAAAGCTTCAGAAATTAAAAAAAAATGGAAGTTCACTTTAAACAAACAAAAATAAATCTTTTAAAAGGACATTACTGTCCTTTCTCAATTGCCATTTGAGACCAATATCATTTCTCATCTTCCCATTTGATCTCCGTGAAAATTAAATTCCTATTATGAACAGAGTTTCAAGTGGAGAATTTCTTGGTTTGCTCAGTTATATGCCCTGCTGAGATGGAATGGGAGAATCACCATTGTCTTCAATGATGGAAGATTCTTTGCTTTCCCCAGGAGCAAAGCATTCCTTGACAAAGAGCCAAAATGATGAAGAAAATAAAGTTGGTCCCATAATAACATTTAGGCTGCAGGAAAGAAGCTCAACAAAAACAAGTTATCCCCTGGTACTCTCAAACTTTGTTTTAATTTCCCACAGTGGCACAGAAAGTCTCCTGGCCACAAGTTACCTATCATCTTAATTTCTCCTTCTTAGAGGGTTTGTGTTTGGTTTTTGTCCTTAATGAGACATATTTGCCAAAGAGGCATTCAAAAGGCATTTTTTACTCTTGCGGAAGAGTAATTAGGTCGGTACCTCTTTCCCTGCCAGCATTAGCTGCTCTAAAGAGAACCCTGCCCAGTATTTAATGCCCAAACACAAGAAGCATCATTTCCACTAATTGGTCTTGAAGTTCCGATGTTCCCAAAGGGTCCCTTTATTTTCCAAGGATCAGAAAGGACATACGTAAAATGTAATATCGTCATCACTGACTTTATCTCTCTCATCTGCGCTATTACAGTTGTCCTTTCCTATGTTTGTGTAATCAACATCAACACAACACCAACAAGGGAGTAAATAAAGGGCTTCATTTTTATAACACATGACCTCTCCAGGCCAAATGCAAATGTTGTGATAGCCATATTTATAAATATGAACAAGAGGGTAAATATATGGCCTATAAATTTGATTCCTGTGATGATAGGATTCCTTTTACTGACAATGTTCAGTGCATGGGGAAAAGGATAATACTGCTTTAGCATGTGGACTCTGAAATGCAGGGCAAGGGGAAAAAAGAACCATTCATCAAGCAGAAGCTGGAAATAGAGCATATACTACTAACCTTGTTTTTTTTTTTCCTCTTTTCCACAGCCTTAGAAAGGCTTCTGGACAAAATATCACCTCATCTCATGATAGGAAGTAAGGCAAATGATAAAAATGGGGGTTGGGGGGCGCCTGGGTGGCGCAGTCTGTTAAGCGTCCGACTTCGGCCAGGTCACGATCTCGCAGTCCGTGAGTTCGAGCCCCACGTCAGGCTCTGGGCTGATGGCTCGGAGCCTGGAGCCTGTTTCCGATTCTGTGTCTCCCTCTCTCTCTGCCCCTCCCCCGTTCATGCTCTGTCTCTCTCTGTCCCAAAAATAAATAAACGTTGAAAAAAAATTTTAATAAAAAAAAAATGGGGGTTGGGTGTGTGGCAGAACAATATTTACACATCCTTCTTGCTACACAAAAGCCCTAGGATGGCTTTATTAACCATCAAGAAATTTCAAATTCTTTGACATAATGACCAGGCTACATCAGTGTCCTTACAAACATGGCCAAACAATGATTAAACAGTAATTTACCCAGGTACATTCCAACTGGCCAAATAAACCAGAGTTGAAGAATGAGCTACTGACTCTTTCCTCCAAGTTCAACTCCTCTCTGGTCCTTCTGTTTTCGGTGCATGCCTTGAAAATGCAGCTCTAAGCTGTATCATTTCCTAGTGTTCTATCCAAGTGATGGATAAACTCTGGCTGGGGCCTCCTTTGTGTTCTTTTGAGAATGTTTCTCTCTTAAGAGAGCTATTTTCCATTGTAGAAACTAGTGTCAAAAGGCTGGAGGTGAATGAAGAGGAGGAGGATGTTAGAGACCCTTTCAAAACCAAAATTATATGTTCAAATGAATGTGTTTTCTGTATTTCTACCGCAATATTAACTGCATAGAAATTAAACTGCTTGTCAACATCTATACTGTGTGTTTACTTTTACACTTCATTTAGGTAGGAGCCCGGTTCCCAGACAGGGGAGTTTGCTTATTGGTTGCATTTTCGAGTCTAGGAGTGCTAGTACAAGGATGCAGTGTTAGATGCAATGACACAGATTAGGAAAACTTAAATAACAAACATCTGTTATTCACCTCTGTCCGTCACAAGTTTCCGTAGACTTTTTTTCCATCAAAACCCATGCATGGAACTCCCTATAACCAAGAGCAAATTATCTTTAAAGGTTCCACTCTGGAATTAATTTTAAATTCCATTCAACATTTTAATGAAGAAGGGTTGTTTTTACTTTGTTCTATTTTAATTTATTTGTCACCCCCTCCAGGAGCCAAATACAGGGATAACACTTTTACTGCACTTTCTCTAACTATCTCCCCAAATATCTGACTTTCAACGAGGGGAATTAGAAATGACATGCCTTGTGTATGACAGGTGTGCAAACCCCTCCTCCCAGAAATCTCTGCTTCTGAGGGTGGCGGCCTTGAAATAACGTTAAGTTGGCATTGCGAAATACCATGGTGCCACCTCACACAAAACTTCCTCCAGTGTGGCTCTGGAAATGGCCACACCCAAAGACAGCGTCACAGATGAAAACAGCAGTCAGGGAAGTCATTCAACTTGTTTTAGAGATTCTGAGTGACCCTCAAATGCCACGACAGCTACCACCACCTTTGTCATACTTGGGAGACAGAGGAGACCTAAATTCAGTGCAAGCTGTGTTCACAATGTTTCTATTCATTGTACACCCAGTCCAGTCTTGTCTCTGGATATATGGGTTCCTGGTTTGCTCCTTCTCATGGTATCTATTATATAAATCATAAAAAGCAAACATAATAACATCAGCTATGAACTTGGTCACTAATCAAATCAATAGAAACAATACAGGAGAAGAATACATAAACCATATGCAAAAAAAAGAAAAAAAAGAAAAATCACTTGTCCTTGTCAATTTCTTGGAATACAATTAACAAAATATTGCTACATAATGGAATGCTATATATCAGTGAAAAAATAAACAATCAAGTTTATTGAAGAGACATTTGTTTGTTTTTCCTTCTTTATTTCAATAAGCTGCTTGATAGGAAAAACAATGTCACTTAATATTTGTGGGTAACAGCACAGCCCCCATGTTTTATGTGAGATATCTATGTAAGCACATATTCATATATAAAATTCTCCTGAGAAGTGACTTTTCTTTTATAGGCAAACGTTAATTATCTTTCAAAAAAGTAAGAGTTTAATATGCTGAGTTCAAGCCATTGGCATCTCCATTTTGTCTTCCTAACACCTACAAAATACAGAGTAGATGAGGGAACTTCCTAATTCATAATGTGCCTGACATACTTGTGTGTTCTCCACCTTCTTCCAAATTCTTTACTCCCATGTCAAAACATAAAAAATTCACATTCAGTGATACATTTGTGGGAGTGAAATGGTCATCTCAGTATCTTCCTCCATCATCTCCCCTTTGCCCAACATGCATGTTATAATGGAGATTATATGATTAGAACCTTAAGCATTGTTTCATATCATCAAAAAGGAATTTTCACTTACTAACAAGAGCTCTTACTATTATCTGGCCTTTAGGACAGATGCAGGTTGCTTTCAATAAGAAAGATGTGTGTTGTAGTAAACCTTCCTGAATTCACAATGAATATTTCCTTCTTGAATATTTAATTTTCAGTGGAACAAACCTACTCTGGATTCTTTGTGACTAGAAGCTACTCCTTTTCCTTTCCTCATGCACAGATTTATTTTTCTAGGGTTGATTTATGGGGGAGTCTTCCCTTCCTCCTCTTTGATTCTGAGTTTTCATCCTGCTTCTGTGGTGCTGTTTGTCTACAATGTACCACTTCATTGCCTTCCATATGCCTCTCAAATTCCCTTCCCTGCCATCTGGGACGAGGTCCCCCAGTACAGTTGGGGAAAACCAAGACTGTCTACTTTGACAGCAACTTTTGCCAAGTGAGTCCATTCTTAAGCCCAGAGATCAGCAGGAGTCACGTGGGCATAGGCAGAGGTGCCAACTGACAAAGGACCAGTGCCAAAATGCCTCCCGTTGGCCCTTGAGATCGGAGTTGAGGATGTCCTACCAACATCTCCAAGCAGCCAAAAGGCAAGTCTTAGAAACAAAGATCACCAGGTCTGGTTTTGAGAAGGAGCCCTGGGATGTGTGTTCCGCAGCTAAGTGAGGCCACTGCTCCGGTGCTCAACACATGTGTTGTAACAGTTTTGAGACTGTAATGAACCATAGACTTATCTGCTCTTTCTAGAACAACTTTTTTACTTTTGAGAAGGCAAATGTGGTTTCCCCGTACAAAGTCTGGATTTCTGACAGCTAGTTCACAGCTCTTCCTATTGCAAATTGATATCTAGTGACCCAGGACTCATTGCCTTATAACCACTTCAAAAGGGTTCAAATCAAATAAGCCATGGGGATGAAAAGTATAGCACAATATAGTCAATAAGTTTGTAATAACTTTGTATGGTGACAGATGGTAACCATATTTTTCATGGTGAACATTTCCTAATGTACATAATTGTCAAATCACCATGTTGTACACTTGTACATTGTATGTCAACTATCCTTCAAGTAAAACAACGTCCACCTAGAGGAGGACGCTGCACACAGGGCTGCTTTCATTAACTCTTACCTCTACCAGAAACAAGGGGGCTTTTATGCCAAATCTTACCCGCCGTGACCATTTTGTTAAGGCTTGCTAACTCTGAGGGTTCTGAGGAGCATTTTCTTTTTTCCCTCGCTTTTCAGTGCCCAGCACTGAACTGTCTTTCCTAGCGCACCCCAGCCTCTCAAGCAAAACATCAAAATCCAAGTTTGTTACAAGAGCAGGTTAAATGCAGCGGTCTCCTCCCCTCCCCCAACATTTTCTGACTTTTCCCAAAGCTACTCATCGGGCACAAATACCCTCTCTTCCAAAATTGCAGCAAGACATTAATGGCTCTTATTAGAAAGCGTCTTTACTAGGTGGCACAGAGTCATAACAGCTTAATACCTGTCATCCCCAAATCTAACCTGTGTGACAGGTGTGGAAGGCACAGGTAGGGGCTCCCTTGAGCGTAACACCAGGAGCCTAGATAGCGCGCCAGGATCCCAGCCCGATGCTCCCCAGGGACTGCGGTCCCTCGCTCGCCAGCCCCTGCCCCTGCTGACCGGGGGAGAAGCCCCTGTTGGGGCAGCTCACCTGCTTGTAGGCATCGAGGAGGAAGCTCTTCCAGATGCAGCGCATTCCCTCTGAGGTCAGCATGCGCCTCCACTCCCCGCGAGTGGACTTGGAGCGGCTCAGCAGCAGCACCACGTGCTTGAGGAGAATGACCGAGTCATAGAGTGCCAGGAAGAGGCAGTTGGAGAAAAAAACTGGCAGAATTTGCAGTGTGATCAGCAAGTCTACGCTGAGGATGCCCATCTTCTCTGCCTCCCAGTCAGTTCCCTTGTGCGCTCTGGTTCCCCTTCACCCTCTTATTTAAAAGGGGGGTGGTGATAGAGGGGGTGGGGGAGATAAAGGGGAAGGCCGGGGTGGGGGGAGAAGGAGAAAAACTAAATTAAAAGGAAGCCCAAGTTGTCTCCTCTTTCAAAGAAGCAGAAATGGCAAGACCAAGTCCAGTCTCTGCAGCCCAGCAGTTGGAGTGTGCCCATCAATTCATTCAATTCGGAGCTGCTGCCTTTTTTTTTTTTTCAGGATTTAAGATGTTAAAAAAACAAAAACAAAAAAACCCCCACAAAAAACAAAAAACAACCCACACACAAACTGGCGTCCCCGTCCCTAATCCAGTCACCCCTCTCAGAGTCGGTGACAGACAGGCAGCTCTACTTTCATTTCTAAGCACCTATGAGACTGTGGCAGAGATTGCAAAATTTTCTTTAGCTTTTCATTGTCTCTAATGTTCAGAAACGTAGCCCGTTTCTTTCTGGAGTTGCCAGAGTTTCAAAAATGTGCTTGAAGGGTAGTTTTTCCCCTTCTTTACTCCGTTTGACACACACTTTCTGTTCTCCTTCTCCCAGCCTGTCTCTCTCTCCCTTCCCCAGGAGCGACTGACTCTTCTCTTCCTCACTCGCTCTGCCTTTTCCTTCGTGCTATCTGTCTGTGGTGCAAAGTGCCTCTCTCTCTCTCTCTCTGCAGCCCAGTGAGTCTCCCTGAAGCCTTTTATACATTCCCTGGCTAATTGCTGCAATAGAGAAATGAAAGCCTAATCTTGGTAAAGATCTTGACGTCATTGAGAAAGAGGGCTTTACTTTGGCCAGAACTGCAGTGAATAGAAAAGCAAAACTCGACAACTTTTTTTTTTTTTAGGAGGGGGGGGGGGGGGGGTAGAGGGACAGTGGAATTTTGCTTTGTGATTTAAAGAGAGGGAGAGAGAGAAAAAAAATTAATACCTTTGCCAGTTTTCAGGAAATACTTCCAGATTTTGGGAAAAGTAATTTAATGTAACGTGCAGATTGATAGGGAAACACTCTCTCCTCTGATTATTATTATTGTTATCGTTCATTTATGAGGGGTTTGGGAAGGAAAGGATTCTGGAAAGCAGGTAGATCAAGAGGAAGAGTCCTCATGGAAGGTCTTTGCTCTAGTTCTTGGAAGATGTATATGCTTACATTTGGTCTTTATACCTTTCTACTCTGACAGTCTCTCATCAAGTTTGTGACCTAGGTTCTTTAAATATTTTTGAGTCATGATCTTATTTAAGAAAATTCAAAGTTCTGAGGTGGAAACTTTTAAACTCTTTGAGTACCATCACAGCATTTCTCTAAAGCTTCTTGCAGAAAATTAATACAAGTTTTCAATTTTACTGAAATTTCCAATACAAAAAAAAAAAAAAAGAAGAAGAAGAAGAAGAAAGAATAAGGAAAGAAAGAAAAAGAAAAAAAGAAAAAGAAAGAAAAATCTTCCACACAGACATAAAAGTAAAGTGATCAGAACTCCTTTTTTTTTGTTCCATTTAGCCTATATGCAGATTAAATTAAAACTTTTTGTCACATGGCATTAAGATGCCATAAGACTGAAAAATAAATTCTTTATGTGAGCTCTTTCAATTCTACTCTTCCCTGCTTCTGTTAACATAATCCCTAAGAGGCCTGAAGCTTTAGGGACTCTTCCTATTTCCTTGCAAAAAAAAAAAAAAATTAAATTTGTACGTGGTTAGGAGAAGACTTTGAATTGGTTCAAGAGCCACAGTGAACATTGCTCACCTCTGCCATTAGTCTTCAGGAGCGATGGGTAGTTAGGCAGACAGCGCTTTGGCAGAATGCCATGACCCTTGCCTCATTCTAGTTTTCCTTCCTCACTTACCTAACAGATCACCTTAGGAATTATGTTTTCATGGGAGAAGTAGTAGTAAGTACAGATCCAGGGATGGGGAAATCGAATTTAAATTGAAAATTAATTAGCTGACTTTTGTATATACATATTGCTCTCACTAAGCATGAGCTAAGCAGGAGATGCAAACCTGTGGGTCAGTACATTTCTATGTTTTGTCGCTGTGGCGAAAACCTGCAAGATCACAGAAATAATTTAAAAGCCTAAAGCAGGGGTCATGAATTGGTGGGCCAATGGGCCAAATTCTATACATATATGCATTTTATTTGATTGGCCTGGTGCTTTTTGCCTTTAAAAAAATAATACAGTGAGAATGCTTTCAATTTTCATGAGACCAGGGATTCCTGTCTGCTTTCTCTACTGCTGTCTTCCACCACTTAGAACCATTCCTGGAACAGAGTAAATTCAAGGTGGGTGAACTGAATGGACCAATGGGCAGGGTATGCACTACTCCACACTAGGGGGCACCATTCACATACAATATGATATGACTGTGGTGTCCCAGAATTGTACACCTGGCTGGCCTTGGATGTGACCCTCCCCATGGACACAACACTGGCCATTCCTTATTGTCTTAAAAAAAACCGGATACCTTCATCTTTCTCATTGGTTTAGCCCATTATGAATCTTGGATTTACATTCCATGGACTAAATTCTGAGGCAAGATTTCAGAGCTTAGAGGAATGAATATGAGCCACATAGAAAAAGTTTTCCTGTGACTAGTGTACATTGTTAGGAAAAGAATATTATTCATATACATGACATACATTTACTCCATTCATTCTCTCAATCTTCTCAATATCCTTATTGAAGGGGGAAAAAAAAGAGAAGGAGGTGATAACAAGGTATTTTAACTAGTGTAGATGGGAAAGCTAAAGTGCCAGATGAAGTCCCACTCCACCATGACAGAAGGTGTGGAATCAGTAAATGACACTTCCACTCACTGCTCAAGCCTTAAAATCTCACCCCTTCTCAGACATTCACTTTGACCCGTTTGAATGAAAGCAGTGCTCATTTAAGGCAGAGGCTTTAGCAGCCATACACCAATTTTTCCTCACTTGTCATTTGCTTTCAAGGAGAAAGTTATGATTAGAAATGGCAAGCCAAGGAGGGGGATTGGTAGAAAATCAGAAAAACACTTTCTTTTTACATGCAAAGTTCAAGGCACATCCAAAGTACAAATGATTATAAATCAGAATGACTTTTTCTTTTTTACTTTCCTTTCTCTTTCTCTCTTCCTTCCTTCCTTCCAAAGTCAAATGTATGCGAGGATTTTTTGTTTTTTTTTTCAATGGAAGAACAAATAGACACATAGCCAATCTGATTGTATCATTTTTAAGATTTCATCCATCATTTTTTAAATGAATGAATAAATGAATCACAAAACTGAGAGCCATTCATTTACCTGTTATACAATCTGTCCATTCTAGAAATTACATTTCTCCAAAGATATTTTTTACACATGGTTTGCTTGTTCTAATTATTAATAGTTATTCATCACTTTAATTTTCAAGTCATTTTATATCTATGAAGTAACAAAAATAATGCATATGGTGACAGAGTATCATATAGATGCCCCATCATATAGATGAGGGAAAGTGGATTCAGAAGGCCGTAGAATCAAAGCTGATGTTAGGATATTTTCCCCAACACTGAACCTCACTTTTTTCTTACATAACTGTTTGTGGGTCCTGGTCATACTCTGAAAATTGAAACCCTTGCCAAAAGTGGTTGTGCTAAATTATTTTACCTTCTAAATTGCAAAGGATATCTGGGATTTCACATCTGTTTAATATTGCCCCAATTCAAGCTCCTGGTTTGGATTTCATATGGTCATTTCAAAGGTTTAGATATCTTCTTGGCCATGTAAGCTTTCTTAGCAATCAACATTGTAATGAGCTAATTGCAAACCAATGTGTGGCATATTGGTTCAATTTCTCCATACAATGTTGTACACAGGTTTTAAATTCTAAACAGAGGCAGCCTGGGGCAAAATGCTTTGGGTTTTTTAGTAAGTGTAGAACCACTGTAAAATTGTTTAATTGTTTTTTCTTTCCAGAGTAAGAGAGCATCATATCAACCACTGCTTCCTTCTGGTTGGAAAAAATAAGAATATGAGTGGTAAATGTTCCTTTGGTCTGCTTTTTGACTCAAATTGAGACTGAGAGCATGAAGTTGAATAACTTGAGAGCAGACTTGGAAATTTCAGGGATAGAAGCTATCACTGCTATCACATTATTGTTCTATGAATGAGCCAAAGAGCATCCAAAGAATTCTGTCAAGTTAATAACTCATGCTGTGGATTTTTAAGAAGTCTTATTTCATAGAATTTTATTCCTTCTAAAACTCAAACAATTTGTTAAATATAGTTTAAAAATGGAGTTTGATTATCCCTTTATTAAAATCTTGTCAGATAAATAGATTATAAATCAAAAAATGCCTAGTCAGGACAGGTATGTTTATTTGAGGTTGGGGAATATGATTGCCATACACACCACCCCCTTCTTATCAGAGAAGGAAACCAAAAACTGTGCAACCCTCTGTCTCTAGTAACTCCTGGTTGTGCCCAAGAGGGAGTTATAATGAAGGGTTTATACCACAACTACTGAGTCATTCAAAATTCCCTGTGGGCCCGTCCATTCTACAAACAGAGCTGTGTTCCCTGCCTTGTGATGAAAGCACCTCAATGGATAAAATACACAACCCCAGAGTAAACTCTGACACACCTTGAGCAAAGCAACTTAGGGCTGGGGCAGAGAAGGCAGACGCTGTGGGAGGTAGGAGCATTCTATCCCAACAGCTCCTCTTAGGTCCCTTCACAAGCCCTGGCAGAAAACACAGGCTGAGGTGTTAATGCATTCTTCCCTCAGAAAAGGCTGCTACTCTTTTGTTTCCAGGCCACCTACAGTAAGACAGAGAAGGAAAGGAAAAGGGAAAAAACAAGAGGAAGGGGAAAGGAGAAATGAAGAGAAAGAAGATGAGGAGGGTGGAGAGGAGAAAGAAGCAGGGAGAAAAGAGGAGAAGATTCAATGAGCTGCCTGAGGAGGCTGTAAGCAAGAGAGCCAGTTAATGCCAATTGTGGCAGTGCTTTCTGTGAG